AAATGAATTTCCTTTGGAATTTGCTTTTCCTGATTAAGGCAAGGTTGTAACTAAACACTTTGCAACCTTAACACATCAGAGCAGCCTGGGGTCCCGCTGCTTTGCCCTCCCTGCTGCTGTTGGCAATTGTCTCTCCTGCAGCCCACTCACTGGGCACTGATGCGAACCTTTGGGCTGCCCAGAGCACTCCCCCACTATCTGCTTGCTTTTCTTCTGGCGTATGCCTGCCAGAAGGCACCGCTTCCAGACTTGGCACTTGGCCTTGCTAGCCCCCACACTGACCCATTCCAGTCTGGCTGCCAAAGCTCTCCATCCCCTGCTTTCCCTAAACACATCCTGGATACGTGTTCCTCAAGACACTGCTATCTCCATAAAGGCATTTGCTGTCTTCCCAGAAATAGCTCACCTTGTTTGTCAGTCTCACCCAGCTTCAATCCGCCTCCGCCCTTCAAAACTGAAAGACTTGTAAGAAAGTGTTGTTTAACAAGTTAAACTCAAAGCTGACTTTGAAGAGAAGGCTTTGAATAAACAGAAAATAAAGCACAGACATTTAGCATTGCAATTGGATCACTCTCAAATTGCCTTTGCCTAGAATTCAGCAGGTCTTGCCCTGCACATCAGAGTGTGCACAGCAAAGTTTAGAGATAAATGCAAATACTCAGCTTGAAACCTGGGGTTTCGTGCTCTTAGAAGGTAGATTCCCTGCTGTATGCCCCCAGGGGTGAAGACTGTCCCATTTCCTCACAATATATTGTAAGCAAATGCTTCCTACCCATCTGCAATCTTCTGTTTTTGCAGAGCTTGCTGCCAGCACCCATCCCACCCTGTTACACACAACCCAGTTAGGTGCCTGACCCATCTAACTCACCAGCGAATTTCAAGAATACCGTGGCTTGTGCTCACACTATTTAGGACTGCAGTGCCGTGTCCCATCAGGGAATCATGTCCCAGCTTATCCAGATGTTATGGGGACAGTCACCTCCACATCAGCACTGCCACCATGCCCACAGGCCCCACAAGCTGACACCTTTCTGCAGGCTGGTTTCTGCCCTTTCTAGCTGGAGCCTGGAGCATGAATATATCTTAGCGCATCTTTTCTACTTCCTCCAGAACCTCTTTCTGAGATTGCACCTGTGCTTTCCCTACATTATCTCTTTTATTTGTACATAAGTGCACATCACAAACAACATCTTAGGGCTCCTGATTAGCCTCTTCCTAATTACTCTTGCCACAGCATCCACTCACCGGTGAAGTAGGAAGCATGTTGGATGCAAATATATAACATCGGGTTCAACTTCTGCCCTTGTCATTCTTAGCTCTAGACAGTTTCTCCAGGCTGTATTTCCTTTGAAGATTGAAATGATCTCAGTATCACTTTTGATACGCTTATTCTAAACAGAGAAATCTCATTTCTCTTTTAATTAAAAGTAGTTTCCTCATCTACCTTTCAATTATTATTTTTTTTAATAAGATGTAGATCTTCAGTTCTGGACAGGTTTAATGCAACCTGCCTAGGATCCCCAAAAGCCACACTTGTTTTGAAAAAATCAAAAACAAAAATTAGGAGGACTTAAGATGTTAAAGGGCAGGTTTGACAACTTTTAGATGATAAAGCCAATCTTGCACTGAGTTAGGGAAAAATAGATGGCATCTTAAGGTCTCTCCCACCCCTATCCTTTTGAGTCCATTATTTTATACAATTAAAATTATCAGAAAGCATATTTCTTAATTGGCATTTCCCAGAATTTGAGCATTTGCAATCCTAAAGATGTTCTTTTAAGAGGAGATTTTTGCACATATGGGCATGCTTAATGCAACAGTGAGAAAATAAAGTTGTTTGAATACTGTCCTACAAGCATTCCTCCTGTGACAGGAGCATTTGTCCTAGACGCTATTGGCCACTCCTTAGATCAAAAGGAGAATTGCTAAGCCTCTTGAAACCCAGGAACCCTGGAGGCCAGCAATCATACCCCATTCTACGCACATCATACCTCCTTCAGCAGCGAAGCAGTTAACAAAACATTTTTGTTCATGTGAAAATATAAAGCAGCTGCTTAGTTCTACGCTTGGCAGAAGAAGGCAGCCCCCTCTGCACTCCTTGTCTTCTGCTGCTCTTGGATCATTGCAGAGTTAACCAGCTGTTGCATTCCACATGCCAGTTACACCAGTTTGGAAAAGCAAGAACAGGGATAGTTTTATGGCCGTACAAAAGGAATGAGAATAATACACTACTGAACCAGAAAGGACAATATTTATACAATAAACATTTTCAGAAACATAATGATTCCTTTGTCGTCAAAATTTTGGAGTGGTTAATTGCGCACACAAGAAGTGCACCAAATCCACATGCTCACTAGCAGTTAATATGTTCCCAAAGTGTCTATTCACTGCCTATCTGGCCATCTGCACAGCCCTTCCTGCGAAAGTTCTTGCAAAATAGGGTGGTCAAATGCACATACACTTCTGAAAATATCCTTGCCTGTATGAAATGCCTCATTTTTTATGTCTATGAAAATGCAACTCAGATGATTTTGCTTCCAAGTTTTAAAGTGACAGATTAAACTAGGCATTGAGGCCTTATTGCAAAAGTTCATACTAGCTCTATGCACACTGAAGGGGTACTCAGGTATGAATTACAATTTGGTCTTGAGATATGATGGACACAGTTGTAAATAGCAGCTGCAGACAGATTCAGAGTCTGAGCCTGGCTGTTGCTTGAGATGTTCAGCTCAGGCTATACTCAGGTTTATTAAGTTCTGCTTCTGATTAAAATATACATGAGTCAAAACAAGCTTGGTGTGAAAACTTTTCTAAAAGTTGAAGTTTTGGTAATCTGTGTGCCTGTTGGTATCTGTCTGTCATTTGCTAGCTAAACATCACAAGGAAACTCCCACACCAGTGAACTGATGACCTGGCTATAGATCAGAGAGACTACCTCAAAATGAAACAGAGAAAGAAGAGACTATTACTAAAAATGAATCAATTTTTATCTGGGAAAAGTTTACAAAGAGAAGCCAATTTTTTGCAGAGTTCACACGTTTGTGATTTCAGCTCAGAAGTGATACTTCCTGTACACAGAAGCCTATGCTAAAATTTAGCCTGAATAAACTGAAATGCTTTATTTGGTTATTTGAAGTGAGTTTCTAATAAAGAGAATATGGGAGGAAAAAAGCACTAAAGCAGATATTGCAGTTTGATCTCTTGGAGGGTTTGCCCAGCCTGCCAGTCTCCTTGGGAATACAGCAGTGATGCAAACTCCAATCAAGTGAAAAAAACACTTGCTTCTTTCCTTCTCTCTCTTCTAACAACCACTCATGGCTGTTTTCTTGGATACACTGTCCCACACCCTGACATTCATTTCCCATCCCCTTTGACACCAGGTGCCCAGGCCCCGGCAATACCAACTCTTGGATCCGCTCGCTCCTCCAATTTCTGGACTTTCCTCAAAAGCGAAGCTCTAGGAGCTGATTTCCTGATTGATTCCCTGGATTTGCACCTCCTAGCAATGCTTGCTGGTAGCACAAGTCCTCAGTGGCCACTACATGAAATTCCAAAGTTTTTTTTTTTAGTTCTTTTTTTAATGCAAGCTAAAAATCTTACAATGGGAAACAGCCAAATGTAAAAAGAACAGCCATTCAAGCACATGATACTTGAAAGAAGAGGTAAGAGATTTTTTTTGTATGCAAGATCTTGACATTTCTGAAACATTTCTCTCAAGAGATTTTTTAAAAGATCTTATCTAAAAAATATATCACTTTTCAATAATATAATTGTGCATAACATATAATTATATCCAGTTTATAGAAACATTGAGAAATTCAGAAACCTAACTATTTCAGCATTTGACTATGTCCTATCTAAAAAAAAAAAACAAAAACAACCACTATTCATGTTTCAAATGATAAAATCACCTTCAAATAAGAAACAAATCTTTCTTTATGAAAATGTTGAAAAGTCCCACTTTAGTAATTTCTTCCAGAATTCTTCCAAATCTGAGCATTCATCAAAGCCCGCCTTTCCCAGAGAATCTGGTTAGATTTCACTGAAGCTGCAGTTGTGTAATGCAACAAAGTCCTTCACCAGCAACAAAAAATCTTCATTAAAAAAAGCCTTTTTTTGCATATATACCTCATGAAGTGAGCTCAGCAAATGTAATGAAGTATGTTGCATTGTTGTCTACGCTGTTTTCTTTGTTTGTTTGTTTGTTTTTGTTTTTCTGTCTCCTATAAATGCAGTACAGGTTGGAAACCTGACTTGCCTTCCAAGCAGCTTTCCCAGCACCTTTCTTCCCCATCCAGCCCAGGACGTGTTGCGACCTAGAAAATAACATTCCTGTAGGATATCTGCAGTGCTGCCATTCCTGGCAATGGGACCGACTGGCATGCTGGAGTTCCTCCTGGGAGTGCCACATTCAGGCAGCATTAGATCATTGCGATGAGTGCTGGGTACCCAGTGATGCTCGCCTGCGAGCTATTCCTTGTGGTATGTAGGCTAATGGCTCACTGGGTCAGGCATCATACCTCCAGTGGAGCAGTTTTATCTTTGTGAACTGTTATTGTTAGTTAGTCGGTGTGTGGGATTCGTGTTAATGTGCAGAAACTTAGTAATGCAAGGACAGCACCAGGCTATTATTGATTGTTTGCAAGATGGTTTGGGTAACTGGGTCTGTCTGTGACCAGAGGGCTTTGGCTCTCCCACTAACAACTGCCCCGTGCTCACCTGCAGTTCCCTCACCACAGTGAGGGCACATGAAGAAGGGTTATCCCTCCCTGCACAGGGTTTCAAAGTCACTTCTCAAAAAGATCCACACAACTCCTGAGTGCCATGCAAATCCTTAAACTGGGTTATGTTTCCCAAGAAATAGGAAACAGTCTGATAAATAAGATTCCTTGCTGAAACAGGGAGGATCAATTTGATCTTCTTTTTCCCATGTACTGGCTGAGCACAGAATCATTCACCCTCATTTAACACTGCCGTTGTTTTTTTTTTAAAAAAAAAACATATATCAGTAATCTGTATTTCCACTGGAGCTGGGACTTGAGCACAGGTCCCCTTTACCCAAGGCTGGTAGTTATTCCAGAGTTTGTCCCTCTTTGACACGAGAAACTTTTCCCTCTAACTCTGAAAAAGTTTTTTTTTTCAAAGAATTGCCATTTTCCAACCAAAAGACTTTTAATGACAAAAATTCCACAGCAGCTCTAATTATACCCTGGGGCTCAGTCTGAGGGAGAATATTGCTACCCTCTGTACAGTAACGGCCCGGCGTCCCATTATGTGTCCCTGGTCCCCAGGAAGTCAGAGGGGCAGTGTCAGTGAGAAGCAGAGAGCTGGGGGGCTGCTGGGTGACTGCGTGCTGCTTTTTTGACCACCCTGAGTAAATGAAATCCTGCATGATCAAAGCAGGATGGAAAAATGTTATAAAAGCAACCATTTTCCATGTGCTGCCCACGGTGGGAAAAGAGAAGGACAAAGGACAGTCTGTGTCCATCCCCAAACGTGCTGCCCTGAGCACCCCAAGTGATGCAAGAGGTCATGCGTGGGCTCTTAGTGCCTGGCACACTAGGCGGCTCTCCCACCAATTTTTCAAGCACGTCGCCGAGCTTTGGAGTTAGCTTTCTAATGAGGATAATTATTATTATTACATACACATATATATAAAAGCCCCAAATCCCCACGAGGTTTCTTCAGATTGTCCCAGAAAGAAAACATTTTCATTGTGTGGGCTGTGATTGGGAACACATGTACCCGCCGCACCCCATTTTGCTCTGGTACTAATTACAAGGGGAGCAGAGCCCAGCACGGAGGTTTCTTTAATTCGTTAGTTTTGGAGACTCAGCAATCAAATTACCTGAAGAAGCTGGAGCTTCTCTGGGGTACAATCAGTCATGCAGCGCTTGGGTTAGGCCAGGGTGGGGAGAGATGGATAATATATAAATGCTGGCAGCGTTATGCAGCCACCCAACTGGGGAAAAAGGAATTTCTCTTAATTAATGGCATGATGTATGACACGTTAGCAACACAAACTCTTTAATAAACCCTGATGTGTTCTTTTACAATTCAGACAAGATGAAAGCGCGCTGGGTTACCTGTAGGAACCAGGTATTCAGAAATGCTGGCAGAGCAGCTTGTGGTGAGAGTGCTTTAATAGCTGCACATGGTGCTTTTGATTCTGGAGTCAATTTTAGTCAAAGCTGCCTTGAAGCACAGGAAGCAAGTTTCACTTTCAACCTTGCCCAAGGCTGCTACCCAGAGATGAAGATATCGGCGAAGAGAAGTGAAATCTTAATTTAATTAACTGTAACTCCCAATGGGACGAGCTTGGGAGGTTTGGTTCAGAGGACGATTATCTGAAGCAATTGAGATAAAGTATTGGTATTCCAAGTTCCAATTTAGGTTTTTGTCTGGCACAGGACTGAGACACAGACTGAACGCAGAGCTCAGATTCACTCAAATTTGCCCAAAGTATAAGGGTACTCAGATATGGATCACATCAAAAAAACATGTTTACAGTTGCAATGAATTTGGCCTTCTCCCACACTAAAAGCTCTTTATTTAAACCTCTCATTTTGGTCATGTATTTTCCATCTTATATTTCTTCATCCTGCTAGGTCAAAAAGTGAGTAAATAGGTCAAATGCTCCATAAAAATGGAATACAGAGGAGATGTGGCTAGGACTTGGACTCCAGAGCTCTAAATTAAGAATATTAGCAAAGACTGTTATGAATTACTATTTATTTTTGTGCACTTTGATGGTCTTTATCCTCCTTGAAGACCAGTTTCTGGTTTAGGCCAAGAAAGGAAAGGAAAAGGAAATGCCCCAACTCTTGGCAGCTGCGGAGAACCCTCACTCTGCTGAGATCCTGGAAGCGCTAAGACCTCAGAAACAGAGAGATGGGGACAATAACGACAAAATACAAATTAGAGAATAAAACCTTAATCAGGGCCTACCAAACTCAGCAGAAAAAAAAAAAAAAAAGGTGAGGACAAGCCCATGACTGAAAGGAAACATCCCAGACTGTATACGTGATGGCAAATTTCACAGTACTTCACAAACACAGTACCTAAAATAATTTAGGATTTTTCTGTAATAAATTTATGGCATTTTGAGTCCATTTGCTTAAAAAAGGAAGACAGAGCTTTTCATCCTTTTGACCTGAGAGTGAGACCAGGCTGTAGAATAATGTTGTGTCCATATCCTTAAGATCTTTGTGGAGAGACCCCTAAGGAAAGACTCCAGAGCCCAGACACTCAATGTAGGACTTTTTCCTACATCCCACACACCCCAAGCACATCGCCTTTCTTCCACAGCTCTCCATAAAGGTGAGAAAGAACAAAAAGCTTTCCAGTGAGTGAAAAATTGCATTCCCTAAGACAAAGGAGAGGAGTCTTGCTCCAAACATGCTTCTCCATTCCGTATAAAACTTTTTTTCTCTTTTTGAGAACAATTTACTGTGGCCAATAAAAGCCCAGCTAATTTTTAAATCAGCATGTAGCCAACTCAGCCACCCAGTAGCTCTGTCCTTGGGCAATATTATTGAAGCACACACAATCTATACTAAAGCGATCAGCTTCCCTCAGGCCTGCCAAGGGGATGCGTTAGGCGAGCCCAAAATATGACAGAAGGAAATTTATGTGCAACTTTTACACATAATATCTCATTATGACTCTCCCCAATCTTTCAATTTTAAAAATAAACGGCCTTTGTAATGATTTTACCAGGAGCATGTTGGAAAGGAGATTGAAAAAGAAAAAGGAAAGTGGCTTTGGCTACAGTTATTTCTTTTGCTCTTCTCCTCCTCTCGGGTTTTTCTTTAATTTTCCTGAAGATGTTTCCACTCAATTTAGGAAGAAATGGAATTTCCCCCTCCCTGCTACCACTCTCTCTCTGTTTTGTCCATGTTTTCAAAGAACGGAACGGCTGACATAATGAAGCCTCTGTCAATAGCAAAATCATTTTGTCTGGTTGGTAAATAATGAAAGTTTCCACTTAACGTGCAAGCCAGCTTACCCAGGAGACACGCGCTTGGTCCCCTTCCAGGCCAGCAAATTGTCATCCCTTCTCTGCACACGTCTGAGAGCATTGCCCTGCAGCAAGGAGGAACGAGAGCGCTCAGCTGGGGCCAGGGCTGGTGGTTGCTTTGGCATGAGCACATGCACGTTGGGCACGAGAGAACGGGTTGCACAACTGTGCCAGCTGGTGCTTGCAGGATCAGGCCTGAAATGGAATCGAAAAAAGGTGGAATAAATGAATATGCACTAATAAGGAAGGGAAAAAAAACAATCAATCAGTCAAACAAACAAACAAACAAAAGAAACCAGATGAAAGATATCAGTCTGCAAACACCCAACTGCCAGAGCTGGACTCTACAACTAGCTTTGATAAAGAGAGGGCAATGCGGTGCATTTGCCCTTCCCCACTGACATGCCAACTGTTGCACGCTTTGCTAATGCTTCCCTGTGGGTATCAGCAGGAATGACTTCATGTGCTATTCATACTCCACAGACCACAGCTCAAGAAGCCACGAGAGGAACATATACCTGAAGTGAGAAACGGTTATAAGCATTTTCGGGAATGATCTCCTCGTAGGGGGGTAAGAAAAACAAACAAAGCGAAGCTCTCACAGCTTTTGCTGGTAGCAGAGCGGGTTGTTCTCAAAGCGGAAAGCGGAATTGCTGCCAATGTACACGGACTGGTGGAAAGAGCTTTCCCATTGCGGGCTGATGGGCAAACGACCATTATCAGGCAGAGAGAACTGGGGCAAAAGTAAAAATATTCCCATCTGTACAGAAAAGATCTTTCACTGCTACACAGTACTGTGCTCCCCTGTTGTACTGTACCTTATTTCCCTGGCATCCCAAGTTGCCAACAGTCTTGCCAGGGGACAACACACTTTATGCATGTTCTCTAATATGTCTCTTTCCCCCTCTGAAGTCCACACACTGGGACAGCTTGATGCTTTTAACCATTTCTTTAATCCATTTATACATTATCTCTTACTTTTCCATGTGCCTTTACGCTGTTCAGTTTTCAGAAGCTTGTGAAACCAGCAGTAAGGTTAGGAGCACCCAAAATATTGGAATACCTCGTGGAGGAATCATTTTTTCTTTCATCAATCCCCAAGCTCCTCCAGTGAGCCCTGGACATCAAGCGCAGCTGTACCTGTCCTTACGGGGCCAGTGGGGCCGCCTCTATCCTTTCAGCTGGATCTTCTCCCTGAGGACTGAGCTATGAATAGTTTTGTAATCCTGGGGAAACCACGAGAAGTCTTGAAGCTGGATACTGAAGTATGTAGGAAGAATACATATATATTTAGTAAATGGCCATGAAAAAACACAGAGAATGGAAGAAAAAAATATACATCCTGGCAATAAGATTGTATATTTTTATTGTATTTATAATGCAATAATTCTACATTTGAAGGGATGACTTGGTTCAGGCAGGACAAATTTCACTGTATTCATTCTCTGAGAGAAAGATCGAGGTTAAAGGGTTGATGCTCAGTTGCTCGCTCCATGCTATCTAGAGCAAAACAATGGAGGTGAAAACTGAACCAGTCTATCCACAGAGGGATTTTACAGAAATCTCTCTTTTTTCTTTTTTTTTTTTTTATAGTTCTTATCCTCATCCCAGTAAGGCCCTGAAGAAAAATGGTATTAACAGATGCAGTCTGGAGGGGTGAAACTAAACATGCTAAATTTGGAAACATCTAAAGGAGATGTTGGAGTGAATGTTGGCCAATGGTGCCTGTTTGTTGTAGCTTCGCTACAATCCTGTGGGTTTCTATCTCTTGAGAGACATAATGCAAACAAATTATCTGCACCTCAGTTCACCCCACTTTGAAATAGGTACAAAACATTAGGGTAATGAGATTTCATTTATTCTTAGATCTTGCTTCAAATTTGGCATCTGCCATGGATGCACAATGAATGTGAACGAAAACTTCACTTTGAGTTCATTTTGAGTATCCCAGTGTCAGGCTGTACATGAAACACATCACAGTAAAACACCTGAACATGCAGCATCCGGGGCGGAACTTTGCAATTTCACTGATTGCAGTAAGTACATGTTTGTGCTTTTTTATAATTGCTCATCTTTCAAATTAAACAGCACAACAATTAGCACGTGGCTGTTCTTCATACACCTTAACATCCATCACATCACTAAATGCTTTGTATGAGAAATTTTCACCCCTTTGTTTTATACAGATTTAAAGCAAACCCATCTCAAGTCTCTCCAAGCTTGCTACATCTCCCGGTGCTTCCTGGCAATGCGACTGCTCTCACTGAGCACCATGGCACTGCTGTCTGAGGCTAAAAAAAAACAACCCTAGAAGTGAAGGTGCCTTGGTTTGGTCACTGATTCCCTTGGAAATACAAAGGCTCATGCTGATCCCAAACACAGTTTCCCACCTGTAGAAAGGAGGCTCTTCTATTCCATTCTTACCATGGGATCCATCAGTACACAACGTGGGCGCATCTTTGAAGTATTTTCCAGGTGGGGTATGAAAACATGGAGTACCATCCATTTCCAACATAAAAGGTTAATTACTTAGTTACTTAATTAATAGGCTCAGAAATTAGGAATATTAAAAGGGAAGAGGCTGGGAGTCTGTTCTTTCAGAGGTCCCTGAGCACTGTCACACTTCTGATTGCAGTAGGTTGAGCACAGTGGAGATGACCTGGTCTGGCCGCTTGGTCACAGCATGCAGTTGTTACCTAAGGCAGCCAAAAGTTCAGTCACTGCTTGTGGTTTCAAATCCCAGAACCCGTAAAGCACAAATACAGGTTCTAAATGTGAGGCTGTGACCTCTCCACTCGCCAATAAAACATGCCCAAAGTCATAATAAACAAAGAATTACGATTCAGGGTGGCAAGGCATAAACCAGTCATATGTGTTTTCTTTCTGGCCACTTAAGCAAATCTTTGCCTTTACCAAAAACTACCTCGGTGAACTAAGTTAGCAAAACAATACTGATTACAACATAGGTTTAAAAAAAAAAAAAAAAAGTCAAATAAACTTAACCTAGGGTTTCTCATGGGTTGTTTTATGTTCTTGTTGCAGAGCAGAATATGGGCCAGAACAAACATGGAAGGGACACAAGTGTGATAATATAATGATACCTTTTATTAGCTCAAAGAAGGAAAAAGAATAACAGAGCTTTGGATACATCAAAGCTCTTTTTTCTTCACTTTCAGGATTCAGAAAGAAAAAACCACAGCTTGTATATTCCTGACAATACTCATCTTGTTAGGAGCATGAACTCACGTTGTGGGCTTTTCATTTCTCTGGATAGCCAGCAAAGGAGGGGGAAGGGGAAAAAAAGAGATGCTTTGTAGGAACTGAAGGAACTGACATCTGGTTATACAACGATACAAATTTCCAGGTCATAATTAACAGCACAAATAATAAACTGAAAAGAATTGCTGGCTACTTTCTGTGTGACACCGTGGTAACCTTGTTAAACTGTTTTCTGTGGGCTACCTATGGAGCTGCAGCAGCATGCACTCAGGGGAGAAGCAGGGACGGACTTTTAGGAAAACCTTACTTTTGCAGGAGATGAAGATGTTAATATAAGAGCCAAAGATGGGTTCTCCTGTATATGTGACTCTTGTCATAGAAGGGGCAAGATTAAGGGCTGCTGGAGAAAAACAAAACCAAACAAACAAAAAACATACAAAGAAGAAAGCAAAACAAATCAAATCAAAAAACAAGGCAAACAAACAGTGCCCATGAGGAGATAAACCTATGGATAAAAGTGATGTGCTGGCAGTCCAGTATCTGCTGGCTGTTATCAGATGCAGCAGAGTTGGTGCAGTGGATTAATGATTTCTTCTCCATCCTCTTACATCTTTTTCAGCCCCTGCCATCATTTATTATAACATCCTTACTTTGTTACTCAGGCTGACAGAGGGGAATAAACTTTACCCTGCAGATGTTTTCAGGAGAAATTATCTTTTCCTCAGGAACAAGATCCTAGATTTGGTGAGTAATAGCTATTTTACCCAACAGTTCATGACACTTGTAGCAGATACCTTTTCCCTAGGTATTTCATGTATGCCCACCTACATCTAAACAGAACTGGTCTACTGAGAACATGTGTTTTTAAACTGTAAGAAAGTATTTTAGAGTGTTAGACTGAAAAGTATATTAAAAGATCAATCACTTACATTGATTTTAAAGCATTAAATTTTGACATCTTTGGTGCAGACAGACCAAGAAGCTTAAAATGGATTTATCACACAGGCAACGGATTAAGTCCATTTTACCCTTTTGAAAGGGATCTCAAAAACTTCCTCAAGCAATAATGGCATATTTTTCAGTTGACTGAAACAACAAAAGGGTCTAATAGGATTTAGAGTGACTGGAAAGACAGAGACACCTCTAAAGGAGATTTCAGAACACTAGGCAAAGGGAGATGGAAAGAGAGACCTGGCCTACCATTCTGCTCTCATTAATACCCTCCCACCTCCATTTAGTGTAAATCTGATGCCCCATCACTTGCTTCCCTCAATATTTGTGTGCATGTGCATGTGTATATATGCATAAAATATTGTAGCAGAAATGCAATAATGGAAAGCACGAGGATCCTAGCAATAGCACACATTTAGGAGGCAGCAGCAAATGGTGGATGGAACAAGAGAGAAATCATCAGCTGATCAGCTCCTTCAAAAGCTGGGGGTGGTGACAACAAATGCCTGAGAGGGGGAGAGGGACAGGGAGGGAGGAAGATTGGCACAATGCAATGATTGTGATGGCTCACAGAGAAGTCACCACCTTGTAGACACCTGGTTTTGGACTGCAGCACTGGCTTTTGGCCCTACATCTCTGTTAATCAACATTTGATGAAATAAATGATGAATTTTTTATGATTTTTTCCCCTTCAAATTCAAGTTACTGTGAAACACAGGGGCACAAAAAAAAAAAAAAAAAAAAGGACAGAAACAGGTATTTATACCAGGAGCAGTCCCTGTACCTCCTGCAACACAAGTCACTCCTGGGGGAAGCTGAAGGGCCGGGAAGAACATCCCGCGGGGGTGGCCGCAGGAGTGCTGTGCATCACCATGCTGTGACCCAGCACCTGCTGGGCTCAGGCCCTCCCATCCCGCTGAGCTCCAGCACGTTCGGCAGAACCTTGATGAATTATAAAAACAGCTCCAGAGGATTTGGTAAATCTCCACAGCTCCGCCTGGAAGCCTGGACGGTAGCACAGGAGG